GCAATATGGGGACCGATCGAAAATCCCAGAAAATGGAATAAAGTGCAATTTTGTGATTCAACAGCTTAACTGACATATTTATGGACAAAGCATTGTTGCTAAGATTCTCCAATTTACTTCCTTTTGTTAAGCTAATGTCATGAATACTCTGATGGATTGATGATGCTCAGGGCAAGCACGATGATTTCAGATGGCTCTTTTCTAGAATCTGTGATTGTCCTGTCAGTCAGAGAATTTAAACTTTTCTGCCTTGTAATGACTGACTCGTTCTCATGGATTCTGAAAAACTACATTTATAGCAGTATTAGTTTTAAACACAAAGACTTATACTCATGGAGCCTATTTCAACATTAGAACTACAAATAAGCTTTGACAGCTTTTAGTTTATTACTACTTCTTCTGTATTTTGAATACTGTCTAAACATAACCCTTTGAAGCAATGAAAAATCAGTCAAGTGCTGAACGGGTATCAGATTCTTTCTATGTCCAAGATGCAAAGTCTTCGCTTATGTTACTGCACCTATGTAAGTGTTTCTCTTTCTCCACCACCAATTCTTAAGGCATCTCTAAAGAAAATTGCTTGTGTAAATCCAAAATTATTGGTAGATTTATGCTGCAGATTCACAACCACTGGAGTTGTAACTTATTGTACACTTTTTGATCTTTGATGGTCGTAGTGAGAAATCACAGATCTCAACAGTTTAGGCTTGATTGAAGCCTAGAGCTTGTAGTGACACAGCTATTCAGTCCTGCTCCTCTTAATATTCTTTAATCTCTGTAATAATGAAACCACGGATTTTCCGGCCACTGTGGAAGTTGTCATGATTTGGAAAATATCGTAAATAAAGGTGGCAGTGATCTAATTCTTCTCAGTTAGACACAGAAAAAATCATTATTTATTCCCTTATCGTTTGAATTTATTTCAGTTTAATTTTTACAAAATTGGTATATCAATGCTTGGTTCCCTGCCCAGTGAAAGTAAGTGGACTGAATAAAATGAGACTGAAGAAGATCAAATTTAACTCTTTTTTAATTATTAGAATCTGAAAGAGTTTGAGGTAGCCAGAAAATCATGTTTTTTTCCGAAGATGTGAGGTAGAACCAACACTGTCCTATCCTTGCCTGTGGAACCATAAGAGATTTCCTCATTAGACAAGCTGAATAATATGGAAAGAGAATTCCTAGATGACAATAGAAAAAGCTTATTCCTACCACTGACAAATAAACCTTAGCAGGGAGGGCTTGGTGAGTGCAGCCTACACTTACACAAAAATTCTAAGACAGAAATCACACGACACCAGGATATAGTCCAACAGGTTTATTTGAAATATCAAGTTTTCAGAGCACTGCTCCTTCATCAGGTGAAGGAGCCTGATGAAGGAGCATTGTTCCAAAAGCTTGAGATTTCAAGTAAACCTGTTGGACTATAACCTGGTGTCGTATGACTTCTGACTTTGTCCACCCCAGTCCAACATGAGTACCTCCACAACAAAGATTCAAGCCAAGCCCCTATCTTTGGGTGCTTAGTTTCCCTCAATTTGACATTGAATAAGTTCAGTAAGTATCTGCTGAACCTCATCTCTGACATTAGTTTTCTGTACCAAATTATTTGGTCTGCCATTCATCAAGTTAGTGGAAAAGCAGGTTAGAAATTTCAATGCAGAGTTCAGTTCTCGTAATGTTGCCACCATTCACTCTAATCAGCAGAAATTTCAAATTGTTCCCCAAACACCAGATGTCTGATTTGTTCTCCCATCAAACAAATCTGACAAAATTTTTGTCTGCCCTTATTTTATTTTTGTCAAACAAATTTCGCCATAAACCTCTTGCATTATAACAAAATCAGTAATAATTCTGAAAATGACACAGACTATGCATCACTTCTCGATTCTCCTTTGGGGTAGAATCTGCAGGAAGTTCTTCAGAACCTGGTTGTCCATGGATTTATTATTTAATCCACCTATTTATCAAGCTAATAAACAAAAACTGTCAGCAGAGAACAGCATGCCAGTAGTACTGGTTCATCCATTTTCTTCCCTGTTGGAATCAGATTCTGTGAGTAATTTCTTCTGATTGATCATTTTTTTCCCCACTTCATTTACTCAGCAATCATAACACAAAGTGTCAGTTCTACAAAAGACTTCTGCACAAGCACATTGAAGTGGAAACATTTTATACCAAGATACAGCTGCCTTGACATTTCCTCACTGTGTACTCTGATGATAAATTCTAGCACACAGTAAGCACAGGAATAATTGCCATTGCAGAAACATTAATATCCCTATCTCAGCTTCCAATTGCTGCAGTATTTTATCCATCCTGTGTCCTACAACCTTGACAGTAAATGCATGCTCCATCAGCAGTAGGCTGAATCACATGCACCCACTTCCTTATCCACTGCTGAATGATCTAATGATGATCTGAGGGATGATCTGCATCGGGAAGACCACATGTACGAATGCAGAGGGCAACGCTGACTTATTGTCAAATTTGATCTTACTCTTCAATTTGTTTTTACTCAACAGTCCACCATCTGTTCCTGCCTTATATTGCACACAATTACTGAAGGCAAGCATGATGATTTCAGATGGCTCTTTTCCAGAACCTGTGATCATCCTGTCAGTCAGAGAATTTAAACTTCTCAGCTTTGTAATGATTGACTTATTCCCATTGAGTCTGAAAATCTACTTTTATCACAGTTTTAATTTTAAACACAACTTTATGCTCATGGAGCCTATTTCAACATTAAAAACACAAATAAGCTTTGAAAACTTTTCATTCAATTGAACAGATTCATTATTACTTCTTCTAAATACCATCTAAATATGACTCTTTGAAGCAATGAGAAATCAGACAGGTGCTGAAAGAGTGTGGGATTTTTTCAATGGCCAAAGTGTCTTCATTTATGTTACTGCACCTATGTTAATGTTTCTCTTTCTCACACCATCAATTCTTAAGGTGTCTCTGAAGGAAATTGCTTGTGTAAATCCAAATTATTAGTATGTTTACACTGCAGATTCACAACTGTTGGAGTCTTAATTTATTTCACGCTGTCTGACCTTTGATGGTTGCAGTGAGGAACCATAGATCTCAACAGTTTAGGCTTGATTGAAGCCCAGAGCTCATAGTGACACAGCTATTCAATCCTGCTCCTCTTAACATTCTTTAATCCCTGTAATAATGAAATCACAGATTATCTTAATAATTGATTCTTCAATTATCAGAGACCCAGTGGGAATAGCAGTCACAGAGTTACTTTTCCATAGAGTCATACAGCACAGAAACAGACTCTTCAGTTCAAACAGTCCATGCCGAACATAATCCCAGACTAAACTAGTCCCACCTGCTGCTCCTGGCCCATATCTCTCTGAACCTTTCCTTTTCATGTATTTATCCAAATATCTTTTAAACATTGTAATTGTACTCACATCCACCACTTCCTCAAGAAGTTCATACGACACGCGAGCCACCCTCTGTGTAAAAAAATTAGCCCCAATGTCTTTTATAAATCTCTCTCCTCTCACCTTAAAATGTACCCTGTAGTCTTGAAATCCCCCCCCCCAGGGAAATGACAACTCTTATTAACCCTATCTATACCCCTCATTATTTCATAAACTTCTATAACGTCGCCTATCAATCTTCTATGCTCCAGTGTAAAAGGTCCCAGCCTAACCAATCTTTCTTTATAACTGAAACCTTCCATACCTAGCAATATCTAGTGGGCTCCCAAGCCTTTATCATGGCTGTGCTAATTTGGTACATCCAAAAACACACCCATGCTGGTGATGGGTAATATCCATTCTCTGTCATCCCCCATTCCAACATCATTTAAAATTATGAACAGATGAAAATGAAGAACAAGAAAAAGCCATTGAATATGTTTGATATTATTTTCATACTAGATTGTACAGGTGGATTGCCCTGTTATGAGGGCAAGGAAGTGGGAAGGTGAGTAACTTCACAACATATACTACCATTGCTGACCTAATCCTATTTTGCTGCAGTTTTCCAGTTGGGCTATGGCTCCCCCTGTGGGATTGGCTTGGTCGCAGTTGCCTTGGGTGGCCTCCTGGTGGCAAACAGGAGTGAGAATGGGAAAAGGGACGTTGGGGTCTGGGGGTGGTGGGTGTTGCGAGTGCCCCAGGCAAACTTTGAAGATTCCTGCCTCCTATCTTACCTTGTCATAGCTGCAACTGAAGTCCACCCTATGGAAGAATTCCTCAGGAATTGACCCTCAGGCATTTAAAGCCTGACTGCTGCTGTTTATTGGACTGCCAGCAGGTTGTCGGGCCTCTACTTGGCCAATTCAGGTAAAATCACAATCAATCGAGGGGAGGCAATGGCGTAGTGTCATTATTGCCGGACTGTTAATCCAGAGACCCAGATAATGTTCTGGGGATACGGGTTAAAATCTCACGATGTCAGATGGTGGAATTTGAATTCAATGAATATCTGGAATTAAGAATCCAATGATAACCATGAATCCATTGCCGATTGTCAGGAAAAACCCATCTGGTTCACTAATGTCCTTTAGAGAAAGAAACTGCTACCCTTACCTGTTCTGGCCTACATGTGACTTTAGATCCACAGCAATGTGGTTGACTCTTAACTGCCTTCTGGGCAGTTAGGGATGGGCAATAAATACTGCCTAACCAGCAACGCCCTTGTCCCATGAATGAATAAAGGAAAAAAAAAGGACTTGTATTCGATCCTATTTACATTTGTGGCCCAGAATACAAAATCCTTTCCTGAATGTCTGTTATCTCCAAATGAAATACAAAATTGTACATAAATAAAGAATATTTTAGTGGCTGAGTATGAGTAAAAGTTAAGATTAACTGTTTCTATTAATTGCAGGTATGAAATTGTACGTTATGTTTGTTCAAAACTTCAAATGACCTTAAATCCCTCATTGTACTGTGTAACATGTGCCTAATCTGTAGCTGAAGTTCCAGTTGTAATGTTCACTCCTTCACTAATCAGTTCTTTTCTCATTTTAGTCTTGATGGTGATGGGTGTACCCACAGTAAAGAGAAAATCGCAAAACTACCTGTTGGGCACACTGAACTCCCTTATTTATGAGCTGTCTCCAGAGGAAAGGAAAAAATGTGTAATAGTTGTATTCATTGCAGAGGTCAGTCAAGCTTTAAATATTATTTCATCTAACACAATGTTAATCTCAAAGTCATTTTCAAAATGGATTGGTAAACTTTGTTATCATTAAATTTGAATATTCTTGAGACCTGTTAGATATTTTAAATGTCTTCTATAAGTTGTAAATGAATTATTGTTGCTTGTCAAGTTGAATGAACAAGCTCCACAACTGCATGATAAATAGAACTTAACCGAGGGGACAATCTGTTCCATCAGAATTAATGAATTAATTAAGCATTCAAACACAGATCAAGTGATTCTGATGAAATAGATTCACCTGAAACATTAACCCATCTTTGTTCTTTTCAAAAGATGCAGGGTATGACAAAATAATACAACAAACAAGGCAATTTGCAAAATATCTCACTCCATGAAATTTTTGTGGAGCATTGTAGTAGACATAAAGGAATGTGTGTCTGCAATAACACAGGGACTGGATTCATATTCCATTGAAGGTGGGAAAGCATTTTCTGCTTTCCAATATTACATTACATTCCCATTTCTATTTCTCCAAAAATGTTTGCATTGATGCTTGCTGGAAACCTCTCAGATTGGAGATTCTGAGAGGTCCTTAAAGTAATCTGAAGATATTCATTGCGCACAGATACAATTCATCTTTCCCTTTCCCTCTCAACCATGGGTTTTAGGTCTTATAGCTACCTGGCTATAGCACTTTGGTGGCAACAGTGGCAACAATCAGAAGGCATGTTGTCTACAACTGTGCTCCTTTTTCTGTGCTATATTCTCAGCACAAGGCTCGTTCGGGGGTAGGCTCGCATAGGAAAGCACACCTATGCTCAACCTCTCCAAAATATCCAGTATAAACAGAACTGATGAGCCCTGTAATATTGATTATGGATCTTTGGAAAGCTCATAAACTGTCAAAATAAGCAGACAGTATTTGAAATCCATTTAAAAAAGAAATTATCCTCTTCAGAAGCTCATAATTTTGTCAAATCAAATAAGCATATGTTCCCCTGGAAGTTTTGCAATCAAAACTGGCCTTTCCTGTGTCAATGAACATTGCTAGTGCTAGAAAGGAGAGTGGAAATCCTGGATCCAGGCTTCGAGTGCCATTCTCAAAGTCCACCCAACATGCTTTGCCTCCATATCAGGACAGGAAAATCTAGCACCAGAAGTTAATGTGCCCTGGCCAGGCACAGAAACATAGTTTCTCTCCTGTTCATTCATTCCAATGACTAAAGCCTCCAGTGCTGCATTTGTGAATGACAGAGCTCTCTGTCTGTTGTGGTGCTCCATTTCCCTTATCTCCAGTTTTAAGGCTAGGGACTGATTTTAAAACAGTTTAGTGTCAATATTGGAGAGTTTCACAGAGGGCTTTTCTCCATAAGCCTTAGCAAGTCATCTTACCTATTCTTCACAGATCATCTCATTAGTTATGCACCATGCCTCTAAAATGCTATCGTATGCTCAACAATGGCAGATGCACTCACTCCTGCCAGGATCTCCTGGGATTCCTGGCACCACTTTTAGAGTCTAGCAATGTGCCAGGTTAAGTACTACCAACCAAGAGCTACCCTTCACTCTGCTCATAATGGGAGGGAAAGGAAAAATATATGCTTCTGAGGGCACATAGGTGGCATGGCAGACACTTTATTGCAAATACAAGTGCACATTTGTAAATGCATTGCTATTTTACATCATCAACTGTCTAATCCAGCAGTCATTGTTACTGCAGTTATAACAACCAAATTACATAGGCTACCTGTTCTTAGCACCATTCTATCTTCACCATGTAAGGGAAAAATAATCTTTCCTGAAGACCCAGCGTAACCTAACATCATCTTATTGTTCAATAAGATAGCATCCCATGCTGGAAAGCCTTTAAATGGTTGAATATGTTCACTTTTATTCAGCAACAGCAAAAATGAAGAAAGAAAAGATAATCTGCATTTGCTTCTGGGAACAGGCGGGGACTGTTTGCCTTTTGACAAATTTACAGCCAACTTGTGATCTTTTCAATCAGCTCACATCTACTGGAACGATGTGTCAATGAAGTCCTCTCTTGCTTGATGTGCCTGATGCTGCAGCACTGTATCATGCAGAAGGTGATGTTCCTTCTGTTGAGTGGCCTCATCCTCCTCGTCAGAAGACTGCTACTGCTTTCCCAGGTCTTCAACATCCACTACATCCCCTCTATGCTTGCTCTAATTGTGCAGAACACAACATGTAAGGATCATGGAGAATACTCTGTCTGGAGTGTCCTGCAAGCACCTCTCAGACCAATCCAAGCAGCAGAACCTCATCATCTAGAAGCCTATCATCTGCTTCCTAATGGCTTGCGTGGAAGAATTGGCTTCATGGTATCTAGATGTGACTCTCAGTTGGGGGGCTGTGTAATGGAATCATCTGCCATGGTTGCAGAGACTAGCCCTTATCTCCCAGTAACCTTCCTTGTTAAATATCTGACCCTAGAAATAAAGCAAGACATGGGAGTTCTGAAGGATATATGCATCATGGCAGCTCCCATGATGTGAAGACTTCTAGGAGATGTAGTGCCAGTGATCACAGATGACCTGTATATTTATGGAATAGAATCCTTACCTTTTGAAGAAGTCAGCTGCCTTATGAGATGGTTCTGATGTGTGTCGTGTTTATAATGCTCTGGACATGGGGGAGGCCAGTGATGTTGACAAAGTCTGCAGTACTGATCTCATCCACTGGGGCTGAGGTGAAGTAGTGAGATCTATCACAAATTTTATCGGTAACAGCCTTGAACTATTTGTGAGTCGAAGATGTGAAATCCCACACATGTCCCAGTGGATCTTTGGAAGCTGTCATTGCATAAAAATTCAGTATAGCTGCCAACACAACAGTCATTGGGATGGCATGGTCAGCCAATCTTTCCGGTTAAAGAACTTCCTCTTGTAGTTTGCGGAGTTTGCTGAAAATGTCCCAGGACATCCTCAATCTGCATCAACACTGCACTTTGCTCATGTGGAGGAAATGACATTGAAGGCAATAGATGCTTAGCCTCCTGTATCTCATGCACATCCTGAAGGGATGTTCACCAGCAATTTCTTCATGTGGAGGCTATTTGCTTGGAGGTTGCTGCTGGTCCTGAGCTTGCTGGTGCATCTGTTCCTCCTCAATTTCTGTTTGATTTTATTGTGTCACACCCACAAATTACCCCATAAGTCCTGCTGTGGCCAGGTCACAGTTCCCATGAACGATTTGGGCGATATCGGAAAAAGAACAGGTCCTTAGTAATGTGAGCAGTCAGCATTCACATCACACACAAATGGTGGTTCAGCATAGTCCCCTATACAGCGGGATATGGTGCACTCTGAAGACTGCAGCACCAACCTGTTATCCAAAAACAGGGAGGGTTTGTAAGTGCTGTATAATTATTGACACCTTGTACCTCACCCCACTGCCCAAATCACCCAAGAAAAGGAGCACTGCATTTAAGAGCATGTTGATGAATATAGGGAAGCTCAATACAGATGGATTCAATGGGGATTGCAAGGACGAAAGTAACATGGATCTCATCTGTACTGAGCTTCTATACATTCTCACACACTTTTTCATTTAGAAATTCATCCTCAACATTACCCCCAAGCCCTAAATGCATGGTTTAGTCATGTCAACCATTGTGCTGCTCTGTCACCTGATGAACCTAGGGTGGTTGTGACTGTCAATGACTCCTTACCCAAAGTAACCCATGTCCTATCATCTCCCCACATCACAGATGGCCCCTCTGCATCTCAGCATGCTGCCTCCAATCCCACAATTGAATTTTCCAACCCTCGGTTTCCATTAAGCTGACCGCCATGATGAACCATGGACAAAACCCCTGACAAACTTGGATGGGCAGCCCCAACTGATGACTGACCAGACCCCTTCCTGACTTACTGTGAATCCTCGGGCTCGTTGCACCGGATCTGCAGTGCTGACTGTAGTCCACTGCCTGGACTGAAGTTGTACAGATTTCCTGGCCCTGACTGCCTCAAGCAGTCAACTCATCATGTCTAAGCTTCTGGACCAGAGGCTGGCTTTCCCCTGACTGAAGGCTGTCTCACCTGCTTAGACGGAAACTATTGCCATTAGATGTTGAGAAAATTGTTGAAACGCATGCAGTGTCTTTGCTGCATGTGCTGAGGCTGGCACCTGGTGCAGGTGAGTCATTGATGTTGGACAGTGCCATACATGCCCACTCCCTTGACTGATCACCTGATGACAGAATGCCAAACTGCTATGTTTTGTGTCTACGCTACATGGCAAGGCAAGTCAGAAATACTGTGAATGAGGAGGCAAAGTGCAATGTACATGGCAAGGCAGAGATGCAGTAAACATCAAAGTAAGTGAGTGCTAAGAGACCAAGTGAGGGGCCTTGTGATGCACCCTGGACCAATCCATGAGTTTTATGCTTGTCCCTGGATACAAAGTGTCCCAGCAGCAGCACTAGAATGAAAAGTGCTTGCATCCTCCAGCATTGAAGAGGGGAACTGTAAGTGGGGTCGGAAATGTACCATGAGCATCCCAAAGAGGCTGATATGTGTCTGATGCCAACTTCCATGGACATTGGAGGTGAGAGGGTAGTGTAGCAGGTGGTTGCTGCCCAAGGAGCCCACCGAGATGTCGGCGACTGCTCTCCAAGTTGGAGATCTGGAGTGGCAAGCAGCGAGCTGAAATCGCTACGTCTAGGCTCTGACTTTGTGTTGGCAATTGTCATCATCTGATGCGAGAGAATGGGAAGACACATATAAATGAGGTGATATGAGGTAATATGTAAATAGGCTTCTTACCACTCATGAGTGAGGTTCTTACATCCCTGTCCAAAACCTGTTGCCGAATCAGACTATTTTTCTCTTGACATTCAAAATCTAATTTTTCAAATCTCCCAACTCGACTCCTCATTGTTCATATTGTTCTGGGACTGGGAAGATTTTGTTCTCGCATTCTACAGCAGCCTTGTATCATTTATTCCCCAATGGTAAGAAGGAAAGACTGGATGCT